TTTTAGCTTTTTTTTTTAGCTTTTTTTTTTAGCTTCATTATTGAAATACTGTGGTAAGTTTTCTAGTTAAATTATGAAATGGAAGTTTCTCAATACCCCTTCCAGTCACTGTTTTTGCTACAGCAGCTTTCTTATGGTTAGATATATGTTGATTTATAATTATTATCACTTTTATTTGGATGTATTATCATACTTTTATTCATTTACTGAAACACACATTTTTGTCATTTTTGTTTGAAAGTACTTATTTACTAAATACATCTTCTGAGCAAAATTAATTAAGCTTCTTGATGTAAGTAAAGCATGTCTTGGAAAGTATTGCAAATGTCTTTTTGTGCATTAGCAAAAGCAATAAAGTTTCTTTCAGGTATATATGCAAAGATTTATGATTTAACTTTTTTAAAATAAAAATGGCTGATTCATATACATATGATCTTATGTTGTTCAAAATAGTAGCAATGCACTCCATTTCTTGTTTGTTTTGTTTGATAACTGGTATATTCTGACTGAATCACATAGTATTATTTAAAATCTGATGTTTTAGGTTATTAGAGAAGAGCTAGAACTTTTGCTTAACACTATTTTATCTCTGTTATATTAATATTTCAAAGCAGTTTTCCTGTAGTGTAGTGGGCTTTTGAAGGTTATTTGTATTCACTAACTCAGGTGGAATATGAAATGTAAGTGTCCTAGTGACAGACATTGCAGTTTGTGTATGCACTTTTGCATTGAATCAAAAGTTTGACTTTGAATGAGAAATAAGAGTTACATTTCGAAGAAGAATAGTCATATATAATCAGTAGAAGATGCAACTAGTGTTTTGTATATCATGTAATTCAAGTATACTATCATTAAAAGTATAGATAAAAGAAAACTTCAGATCTCATGCATCACTTAAAAACTATTTTGTTTCAAATTAAAAATAAATCGTTACTCTGAAAGATCATTGCAAATAATGCTATATTTGCCTACAAACTATGTATAAGATAAAAAGTATAAAACAATGAGAAAAGTAGAGATTAATTTTTTCTTGAAAAACTAAAAAAACTTGTTTTTTGAATCTTGGAAGAATTTCAGTTTTACACCTTTAGTCAGAGGTTTTACTTTGTGGTAGATTTAGTACAATGCTAAAGTAACATTTTTGAGTTGGTCTTTTTATACTAATTGTGTGTATGTTGGGTGACATCAAGTAATTTATAGTTATATTTATGATGTGTGGTTCAAATAAAAAACTAATGAAGACGTGCAAAATATTCTTGAAAACGGACGTTGGAGCTTTGGTAACAAAGACAAAGAAATCAAACTAAAACTAATAAATTATAATGAGTTTGGATTATCATTATTAGTAATAAAAATTAAACATCAGTGTAATTTATGCACTTTATATTTGTGATGGAATAAAATAAAATAAATATATTAGTTAGTAAAAGATAAGATATAAAACTTGTATTTATAAGTAGAAGCATGATAATTAAAGGTATTATCTTTTATCTGCATTTTAGGATTTTTTTTCTCTTAAAGACTAGTGTTTCAGTGAATTTTCTTTTAATGTATAAAATCTTTTTTTTTGTTTTTGGAAAAAAGGAAAAACTGTAAACTTGATGCAATAATTGAGGGATTCATGTGTTTTGCTGCACTTTTGTTTTATGGAGCTCATATTTTATATTGTGCTAGTATGTTCTGAAATTTATATATAGAGGTAATTTTATTTCCATTTTGTTATCACTTTTGAATATGGAAATAAAAGGTATATGGGGATATGTTTTTGAAGTAATAAGAATGAAGATGAAGAAAAAGATATGACCCACAAAAATTTCTAATAAGAGATAAGAAGAGGAATTGAAAATAATAGGAAGAATAAATTTGGGAGGAAGATGAGAAGAGTATTGGAAGATGTTGAAATACATAAATAGTAAAAATATTAAAGAACAAGTAGGTTTAAAAACTTTGCAGAAAAGGGTAGAAGAAATAATTAGGATAAAGATGGAACAAAATATCCAGGAGAATTGGAATGCAGCAGTATTTATTGTACTACTGGAGAGATGCAATATTTGAGATAACGAGAAAAAAAATATATGGACAAGAAGAAGATACAGAAATCTTCATAGAGGACAGAAAAAGTGAAGTCTTGAAGATCAGAAATGTACAAGTTTAAGAAAAACAGAAGATATAGTGGAGTATATATATGAAAATATAATTAGATTGAGGAAGAGGAAAGAAATTGGGAAGACAATTAAAGTAAAAATATAGAAATGTGCAGATATATTGAATAATTTGTTAAAGAAGGAGAGAAGATGAATTAAAATAGTAATATATATATATAATAAATTATAGTAAAAAATATAAATAATGTTACTAAGTTTGATAAAAACGTGTGTAAAAGAATAAAACAAATATGAATAATATGTATTGTAAAAAATTATATACAGCCTTTTTAAAAAGAAAGTTGTCTGAGGAAAGTATAATCGATTCAGTTTTGTTAGCACTAATTATGCCTAACTTTTCATGACGCACTGCTTTAATGAATGTATGTTAGAAAGGCCTTGACAAATTCTGGTTGCCATGGTGCCTGAAAATTCTATTATGGCAACTAGTATTTTCTCCCATTTTGTTCATGCATAGGGATGTGCTAAATAGAACTTGAATCTAGAAATGTTCTGGACTCTGGTCTGGAACTATTTTTGTTTCTGGGATTTTAATGGTGGATTCAGCAATTCTTCATATTTGTTTCAGGAATGAAGCACTGTGGGTGCATGACATGTTACTAATTTTGTGGCATTTTGTTTTTATTCTTTCTTTCAATTCAACACCAATCGATGTGCATGTTTAGACTCGAATGAGACCAAAAGCAGTTAATTCAGGCAATACTGTCAAGTGGTTGTTGATATGATGTGATCATGAAAATGCACTCATTGCTGTGAAAGTAAATAAATATAGCCCCCCATTTTCTAGTACAAACAGTAGTGAAGTTAGATAGGACACAACAAAAGCTTTTGCTTATCATTGTACAGTATTGTAGTGATGAGTAGATTAGACCTGTTTGGGCTATCAATATTGCAGTGATTATTTCTATTCTACTTTCATTCATTGCAAGAATTCACCTAAGTTATAGTTATTTAGTCTGTTTTAATAATTGCACATATTGAAGTTTAACTTTAATATATGTTATATAATAAAGTTTAATTATGAACCCTTTGTTTTTTAGTGTAAAACTGTATGTCTCGTACTATAACCATATAACTGACTCAAAATATATTCCATAACTCTTCTATATTGGACCTGGCTCCTAGATCTGAAAATGTTTATCAATGCATGTGTTAGCATATTGAAGTATTATTCTTGTTTTTTACCTGCTATGCCATTGGTCCTGAAATTATACAACTAACAAAATATTAATTAGTGGTGAAACAAAATGACAAAATTCATGAAAATAAATACCCAGAGCAAATGTGAGCCATATTCATATATTTACAGTGTTTCAAGCTATATAGAACTGTAGGTCATGTGTAAGTGCTTGGGTAAAGTCTCTTAAGGCATCTTCTTGGGATTTGTACTGACAGATCTTGTATGTGTCCTTAAAAAGCTAAAATAGCTGAATTTGCAGGTGTTTGGGCTAGCTTGCTATTATAAAAGTTATAGCACAAAAGAGTAGTTCCCAACCTTTTTCACTCCACAGAGTGGCAAAATATTTGTAAAAAACATAGGTCCATTAGTACAATATAAGCTATTCCATATCATATATGACATATAGGTATGAAATAAACAGAATGTAGACAGATATTTGTAGGGTTGTAAAAACAAGTTTAAAGGATTAAGAACTTTGATACTATGATTTTTTTTTTATATTATTATTATTAAAAGATTATGTGGATCAGCACCGGTTCATGAACCAGTGGTTGGAAACCACCGTTAATGTAGAACAACACTAAAAATATACAGATTTCTAACACAAAACATAGTGAAAATGGAAAGAGCTAAATCCATACACACAGTTTGATCTTTTTTTAAAAATAAATTTGCCTTGTATTTGAAACGTACAAGAGGATGTGATTATAATGTTTGTATAATGAAATTAAATTGCACTTTATAATGACTGTTCCAGGTTCATCGCTACCCTTGAAATTACTTTCTCCATCACTGATTGCACTTTGATATCATGTGATCATTAGATTACACACAGTTGTTTGATTCTGTAATTTTCATTGTGACAAGTTCCTGCTGACAATATTGTAGTCAGTCTTAGACCAATTATAATTTCATAATTTACAAAAACTTTCCATTATGCATGGATTTTAACTTCCAAGACCATATATAAGCAGACTAAAGACAAAAAATTTATTGGAACTGTACTGATGAACTTGATAGGTATGTAATTGAAAGGGATTGGTATGATTGCAGTCTTAATGGTCATCTTTCTTGTAAAAACAGTCATTGAATCTGAGGTTTAATTTGAAATTTACAAAATCTAGGCTTGTAAGTCTACATCAGTTTCAAATTCATGTTTATTACCTTATTACCAACTTCAAAACCAGTTGATGTTCTAAACACACTACAATGAAAAATTTTCTAATTGCACGGAAAACCTTGGAAGCTTCGTTTTTCAGACTTGTATCAGGGTTCAACGTCTTTTAATTAACTGTTTCATTATATGAATATCCTTTTTACAGAAAAGCTGTGATATATTCCTCTAGTCTTAAGCCTATCCTTGGTCTGGAATTTGAATCCAATATATAGGTGCTAAACATGTTGCCTGGGGGAGCTAGTTCATTGCTGTATATATATATATATATATATATAAATTTATACAAGGTACAATTAATGTTGTCTATATGTAATGTTGAAGCATTGAGAAAAAAATTATAAAACGATATGTGATAGTGTATTTTATGGGATTTAATAAAGTTTTTAAAATAATAAAAGAAGGAAATAATTTATACTTTTTAGGTGGATGTGCTGGCCAGGTCTCATCCATACAACCCATTGTGGATGCAGTTAGGGTAAGCTTTAAATAAATATTGCATATGTAGGATTATCATGTTGCAACTTTTTTTGAATGATAATTTTTTGTTTTATATTTTCCTCAATTTGTTTTCCCCACAAAAATTAGTTAAGATTTCAAGAAGAGGAACAGCCTTTGTTAACCTTAACCTGATTTGCCATTTTTTGCAACAAAAACAAGTCTTAGGGGTCCCAAAACAAGCCACTCTCTAACCAACTAATGTTAAGCAATGCATTTTGTTAAAAATCTAGTAAAACAAAATAGCAGAAATTATTAAACAGATTTTGTTTTAAAGTTTTATTTTAAATGATATTCTCTAATGACTAAATAATAATTTTACCATTTATTTATTCCTAAGGGACCTATATGGAGCTATTGGAAGTCCAACAAAATTAGCTAAAACTGTTATCAATGGGAAAAAAACTGACATTATTATTCGTTTCATTTACATTTTGAGCTATTTCATACGTTGCAGTGATATTTGTGAGTATGACCAAGAGTGGCCTGAAGCTGATGTGGTACTACAAGAAAATAAAGAGTAAGCTAAATGAACTTTATTACAAAATTACTTAAAAAGTAAGTCTTAAAAATACTTTTAAATGATTGCTCCATAACAAATTTTAAAAAATCATCCATAAAACATTTTGTTAAAACTTGCCATTATTTTGTCTTTTTGATCTAGTCTTCTTGATTATTTATTTTTCACGCCATAGTCTTCTTTAAGTTTAAAGTTTTATTAGTAATTTTTACTCCCAAATGTACTTTTTAGATTTTAGAATTTAATATGTATATGCACTTATGAACATTTGTAGTTTATTATTATTTGTTTTTTGTTGTTTTTTTGTGAAAAAATAGTTAATAAAAATGAAACAAAAAATTGTATTGAAAATGAGGTTGATTTCAGAAATGTTATGGGTAGATTTAATTTTGTATTAATTATAAGAGGTTGTGCTGGGAATACCAATAAATAAATGTATGATATTGTGAAAAGAGATTAATCTGGCATTGAAATTATAAAAACATCTGTTGTACTGTGTAGCTCCAAAGCTGTGAAAGGAATTTTAAACATATGACTGCGTTAAGTGTGTCTAAAGAAATATTCTCTCAGAGCAGTGGTGTTAACTGGTACAGTGGCCATCTGTGGCTCAGCATTAAGTTGGAGGACCTATAACATTACAATTTGTGATTTATCCCTACTGGGGACACAGTGCATAAAACCCATTGCATAGTTTTGCACATAAACAATATCTGTTATAAAATTGTTCTCACACCAGATTTACTGTTTAAGCCAAGATTGGGTTGAACTTTATTTTGTTAAGTTAAAGACTATGATAATTATATATGGGGGGGATAGATTATGACTTTGAAGGTTAGCAGAAAAAAGGTAGTTAAAAAAAAGTCTTTTGAAAGATTATTTTTTTATTTATAATCTGTATATTTGTCAGGAATAGTTGAAAAGTGTTGTTTCCTACTTGGTTCATTGTAAAATAAGTGAGATCCATAACTTTTGTTTTAAGGTTCTTAAAGCTGCCACATTACGAAACAGAACTATAGATTTATATATTCCTAACAGTTTGTATTTCTTTTACAAATATTTTGCCAGTCTGTGGAAAAGGCTGGAAACTACTAGATTAGCACCTTATGCTTTTGCCTGATGACACAAAATTCTGGATTATTTTAACTATTATTTGTTATTTATTGTAGTCATAGAAAAAATAATAATTCTTTAACTTTCAGTTACAATATGTTGCAATTTAATTGTATACTTTGTTTTGTTTCACAAAAAAAAATTTGATAATGTTAAGAGAATGTTACCAATAACTTTTTATAACAAGTTACAAATTATGAAGTTAAAATAAAAACTGCTCAATAAAATATTTTTTATTATTTTTTAAAGTTCTGATACGATACCCTACCTCCTCTCACATAATAGTTTTTTCAATTAATGCTGTTATCTATTTATGCAATTTTTGCTTGCCACTAGCCTAGATGCTCCCACCTACCCTCACATGGTATGGCTGCACTGTATCATACAAATGAGTATGCAATGACCCTCCATCAAGAGGAGTAACACACCCTGCTGGTGCAGGTGACTCCCTCTATACTGTAGGACACAATCCTCACTTTTCATTTTGGCATTCTTTTGTGCAGTTGTGCTTGTTTCTTACTCAACTTTGCTTTCATTAGTGTGCATTATTGATTCTTTTTTGCAACTTCTGGACAATTTAGTTTGTTGTCTTATCATTTTTTTGATCACTTAGTTTTTGTGGAATTTTTTTTTCCATCCCGATTTTCCACAACATTAATTCTCAATTCAGTGTCCCCACAATGACTTCAGTTGGCCTCTTGGTGTTACTCTCATTTTGTCCACAACAGCTGAGTTTTCCAATTCCACGCTCTACTGTTTCTCTTCAGCTTCTTACATATTCTGTTGTGTGGCAAGATCCTTTGCCTGCCATGTTCATAACCATGGTTTGTGGTTCCATCATTATATGGATGACAGGCTACTTCTGGCTCCATCCCTACAAGACTCTCTCACTCACACACATTTCCTCCTACAGGAGACTGCTTGTGTGGGTTGGCTGATCAAGTTGGAGAAGTCCTTTCTCACCCCATCACAGTACATGATCCATTTGGGGGTGCTTTTCAACTCCTTCATCACTTGAGTCCAGCATTCTCCTCTTTGTTTGAGGTTAATGAAGCTCATGGTTTTCATGGAAACTCTTATACCCTGGGGTTGTGCATACCTCTTCAATGGAGGTTGCACAATTAATGGAATGTCACTCAGGATCCCTCCAGATCGATTTTACCTGATAGATCAGCAAAGACATCAACTCGGCTGGGATTCCTTTGCCTCCTCCCTGTCCTGACTTGTACCTGTTTACAGATGTTTCTCACAAAGGATGGGGGCTATATATGGATTCTCGGGAGGTTGCTGACAGTTGATAAGTGGTTGAATCTTCTCTCCATGTCAATCTCTTGGAGCTTCTTACCATTTGTTGGTTTTATTTATTTCCTACCTTCTGTATGAGGCTGTTTGGTAATGATCTATTCCAATAATTCGACTGTTGTCTCTTACACCAGTTGACAAGGAGGCATCCATTTATGTTCTTTTTATTTTCAAACATTAGATCTCCTTTTCTGTGCCCAATATCAGCAATCCTCCTTCTGGCTTGTCTCAGGTGCTCTGAATCTTGTAGCAAATCAGTTATATTGTTAAAATAAGATTCTGCCCACAGAGTTGTCCCTAGCTTCCCAATGTTTTCAGTGGTTATACTTCCAGTTTGGTACTCCTCTTCTGGATATATATTCTAGACATCCCAATTTCAGACTAATCCTGTGGTCTCTGGTTCCACATCCTTTGGGTATGGATGCCTTCAGGGAGGATTGGACCAACCTTTATGTCTATCTTCCTCTTTATGTTCTCTTACTGATCCAAGCTACTCTGTGTCAAGTTCTTCTTGTTGCCCTGTTCAGCTGTGGTTTCTGATTCTGTTCCTCCTCCAGTCGTCCCCTCCCTTACTTCCATTTTGTCACTCCCTTCTCCAGCAACTTCAATCGGGCATGTGTCATCCCGCTGTGGCCACACTCCAGCTTCACTTGTGGTGTTTGTCTGGTCCTTGCAAGGCAATCCAGACTCTATGCAGGTAGCCTTCCTTCTTTCCTGTTCTGTTTGCCCTTCCTCGTTAACTATTTACCAGAGAAAATGGTGCATTTTCTGCCATTGCTTCTTGCCCTCTCACCCTACTGTTCCTCACCTTTCTAAATTACTTACCTGGCTCTTCAACAGTGGTTTGTCGATGTTCACTGTTGCAGGCTACAGAGTGGCCTTATTAAATATCTTTTGTTTTCCCACTCCCTCTGCATTTTTGCCTCTCCCATTCTGTCTCTCCTGCTCTGCTCCTTTTGACTTATTCATCCACCCCTTCCTGGTTGGAATCCTTAATGTGGTTCTCCATGCTGTTATCCTTTCTTCATTTGAACCTTTGGCTACCTGCTCTTTGTACCACCATTCCTTAAAAGCATATTTTGTATTCCTTTTTGCATGTAGATGTCATCGGTCAGATATCTTCGCTCTTAACATTTTCTTATTCTTTATCACCTTTATCCAGATTGTAGTTTTTCACCGAAACATCTGCTGCATGTGAGGGGGATATCACCTTCACTTCTATTCCCCCCTCCCCATTCTCATTTGTATTCTCACTATGATCCAGATCATCTTCTTTGTCCTGTACATGCTCTCTGTAGTTATGTCACCTGCACTACTTCCTTCAGTGATTCCCATTCATGCCTTTTTTATCCCATGGGATTCTTCCTCTACCTCTGGTCTTTCTGCAGTTACCCTTAGGGGTTGGTTATGCCTAGTTATTTGGCTGGCATATGTGTCCTTTTCTGAGGATTCCCAATGCATTTTCCAGGTCTTCTTACACCAAATCTGTCACCTCACCCTCTCTCCAGCTTCCCACTTCCATCATCCATTGGAGGAGATTATACAGGTTGGCATGTGGGCCACACTGCATACTTTTATTGCCTACCACTTACATCATTTGACTGTCTCCTCCTCATCTGGCAATTGATTACCACCCATTGCCATTCTCCACACCTTCTTTCGGATGTGAGAGAATAAGTTCTTTCCTTTTATTTCTTATCATTACAGTGGTCCTTTGTTAATTTTTAAAACTTGCCTGTTAAGGTATACTTTTACTGAAATCTGCACTGTATGGCCAATTTCGATCTCTAATGCTCACTGATAAGAAGGGGTGTCCCACAAGACCATTAAAGGTTCCCTTGTAGTGTCTTGCTTCATAAATATGGCTCAAACCAGACTATACCAACTCATGGACTATAATGAGTAAAGCAGTGTCAGAATTGCTGCTTGTCCATCTGACCCTGGTTGAATAAATCAGGATTGGTCTGCTTTTCAAAAATAGGGTTTTCGTGGTCACTGATTGCACTGTCTTAGGGTGTTGCATTCCTCCAGACTCTTCACCACATTGTTCACCCCCCACTTCCATTGGAAAATGGGAGTCCTTGCCACTTACTAGTCTCTAGATGCTGGGTGGTGGACCATGGAGGCATCCCCCTGAGTGTTACTGATTCCAATCAGTCGAAAGTAGGGTGATGATATTCTGTTGTTGTATATGGTGTGTATTCTCCTCCTACTGTAGATTGGATAATAAATTCCCAGTGCCACTAGGTTTTGTACTGGAGTTGACCCACCATGGTGAATTCCCCCTCCTTACCATTGCCTGACATCCTGGCTTGGTGTTTGTTGTGTACTGGGTCTGCACACATGTGCCTGCTCTGGGTTTTTGGAATGGAAGTTAATTTCCCTTTCAGTTCCTGGGCTTGAGGTGAAAATGGTAAGGACCATCCTCCTACTGCAGACAGGATGACAGATACTCAATGCTGCTTGGTTTTGGACTGGATTTGATCCACTGATTGCAGTCTCACACACCCTAGCCACTCTACACCATCTGGCACCTCCACTTAAAGATTGAATGTGCATCTTTTCCACCCAATTTTGCAACATGTATCTTTACAACATGTGAAGAGTATACGTGGTATACTTGAGGTGTGGTTTCCCATGGATGTGACCCTGTACATTGGGGTTTCACACTCCATGAGTTCTCTTTGGGTACCTTCTGAAAGTAAGGTATCGTATCAGAAGTTAACATTTTCCAACACTGAAAATGTATTTCTGATAGTTACTTACTTTTGCTCACACTTCCCACCTGTCCTCCCCACTTCAGTGCATCTTTTTTTGTCTAATCTTGAAGTGATGATTGTGCTCTACACTAAAGAGGGAGTCAGCTATGCTAGGTGGGTGTGTTGCATGCTGTAGCACAGCCATAAGACTTGAAAACATGTGAGGGTAGGTGAGAGCGTCAAGGCTAGTGGTGAGCAAAAATTGCCCAAATAGAGAGCAGTACTAATTGAAAAAAATCTATTATGTGAGAGGAGATAATTATCTTTCAGAAATAATCTTCAGTGTAGAAAAAGGTTCACTTTCGCTTACTGAAGGATGGAAATCATTTTCTTTGAAAATGACCAACCACTTCAGTTATATGTTTTTTTAATTCTACCCAATATTTTAGCTTACATCTTTTTCCAAGGGTATTTGAGCCTCACAGGTTGCAAAATTGATTTTATATTATAGTAACCAAAAATAATATAGAAATTACAACAATTTATTAGAATGTTGCATAGTGAAGTGTGCTAAAAGCATTGTTAAACAGGTTAGAGTTGCTGATCACAAAAGTAAAAGTAAAAAAATAAATCTTTGGTATATGGAATTATGGACTCCCTTCTTGATAATAAACACTCTGACATAAAGCTAACACTTACTCGCACTGATAATGTCCAGAAGTCTATGCCTTTTCTTGATGCCATGGTTACAATTGAAAACAGCAAATTTATTACTACTGTGTATTCCAATCCATGCATTAAACCCATTATTCTACATTATAACTCAGAACATCCACCAGCTACCAAATGGGGTGTCATTATTGGTCAACTTAATAAAATTGTAAAATCCTTCAACACCATGGCTGGTAAGACATAAGCCAGTATGAAAGTTCAAAAGCTTCTGTTGTTCATTGGCTATCCATAGAGTTTTGTTACTAAAACATTCAACAATTTTGACTCACAAGAATTTAACAAACAACAAAAGAAAAAAGGAAACCACCATATCAAAACACTGTTTCATGGGTTATGCCCTTCATGGATAAATCTTTTAACTACTTGTCTTCATATAGTGAATAGAAGATCTGGTTTGAATATGAACATCATAAAAAACAGGTAAAAAACTGAAGGATAATACTTACTCATTTAGCCTTCAATAGCAACAATCCATGCAAATCCAAAAAATGCTTTGATAAGATCAATGGCTAAGAGAAACCCTGCACACTTAAGAACACTGTCTTATGAAATGACATGTACACAATGTTCAACCACATAAACAGGTGAATCCAGTCATCCAGTACATGATCATTTCAAAGAACATATTCATATCGCTGCAAATCTTGGCAACAAAGAAGCTACCACTGAGCATTATATCAGTTCACACGGTATAATTAATGTAACACCTTATTGGATCAAAATTTTAGAGATTTGTGACAATATTTTTGACAGGAAATTTAAGGAATCTCTTTTGATTCAGTCCAAATGTCCTTCCATTAACAGATAGAATGCCTGGCCCCTATATAACTGGTATTTTTTCATGTAAGATTTATTTTAATTTTACTTTTGTTATCAGCAACTAACCTGTTTGACAATACTTTAAGCACACTTCAGTATGTGCCATTCTATTATATTGTAGTTTTATATTCTTTTTGGTTACCATAATTTAAAATCAGTTTTGTAACCTGTGACATTCAAATACTCTTGAAAAAGATGTAAGCCAAAATGTCGGTTAGCGTAAAAAACATTTATCTGAAATTGTTTGTCATCTTCATTGAAAAGGCTCAATAAAATATTAGAATTTTTATTAAATAAACTATGGCTGCTATACTAACAACAAATAAAAATGGTATAGTTTTTGTAAATATTAAGATTTACTGATAAGATATCAATCAAAATATTGATATAAATTTTCAGTTGTTAACTACTGTCTTTTTTTTTATTTTGTTAAAAATAATTCTCTTTTTTTTTTAAGGTATCATTGTAACACAAATCTAAATGAACAAACTATAAGTCTCACTCAAGAAAGTGATACAAATTCAAGTTTCTATGACAATCAACATATATTTCAATATTCACCTGATGAAAGGGATTCACTTGGAAAGTGCCAAAATATTCATAGAATAACACATAACTCCAGTAAAGAGATACTCAATCATCTTGAAAGAGAACAAATTAAGACAATCCCAACAGAACTTTTATGTAAATGTGAGACTATGAAAGATAGATTTTGGATTCATAAGCATCAGTGTTGGAAATCTTGTAGAAATCTTGTATCTCAGTGTTCAAAAGAAGACTTGAGGCACAGAACATCTGTGAGTGATTCAGAACTTTTTTTGAAACATCATAATGGTTTTACACTGATTCCAGAGAATATGAGCAGAAACAGTGCTGTGTTTATGGTGGGGGAGATTCCCCTAGTTTCTAAGCAGTGCAAGGAGACACAAGAACTGTGTAATGGACAGTACTCAAGAGACAAAGAAGTAATTTTCTTGGATAGCTTGGGCTACAGCAGCATGGAAGATGTATCAGACTCTACAGAATTTAAGGAAAAAAGAGAAGTTGTTGATACGACGGTAAATGATGCCTGTAAACATGTAGTTGATTTAAAAGAGTTTGACAATTTGACAGTAAAAGAATATTATCCTCCTGAAGTAAAAGTTGAACATGTAAAAAATACATATGCAAGTGCACCTTCAAAACATCCTAAAACTATTCCCATTCATAAAATTCAAGATATTTTGTTGTTTAAGTCTAACGGTGTCCAAAATTTTACTCAAGAATCTGGAGATTTTTCCAGTTTTGATGTAAAACCCTTACTAAGAAACATAGATTTTGATAAGGACACAATAAATCCTGTAAGGGAAGTTCAAATTCTGCACAAGAAAATTGGGTCAGAGACCATTGATAAGACCAAGCAATACTTTCAGACATACCACGGTTTGAGGTTTGCCTCTGAACCAAAATGTACTTCAGATGTGTTCACTGGAGATTATGTGCTAGAAAATTTGACTCAAGACAGTCATAAGATTGCTAAAGCTAAGGAAAAGTTATTAACATCTTGCCATTGTAGCTCAGGCAAAACTAAAGATATGTTATCTGTAGATTCCACTGCCCATGAGGAAGGTTATCAAAGCTTGGATGAGAAACCTCCTGAGAACAGAAATGCTTCATTAGGAGCTATCTTAAGGTCACATGAAGAAAATCCATTAGAAGGTGTAATAGAATTACCACTACCTCGGTATGTAATATTTTCTTGTTGTTGAAGTGTTAAAAATCAATTTATTCATATCTCTATGGGAAGGAAAATTATTATGAGCAACTGTAGTTTTTTTTCAAGTTATTGTTTTAAGCACTATGTTTTTATTTTATGAAATGCACATACTTTAACATGTTTTAATAGTAAAGCATTGGGTGTATAATTATTGGTAGTTTAGCTATGATGTAATAGATAACTATATGTCATTGAAAGTCACCCTGTATACCTTTTTTTAACAATATATTTTTATGTATTTGCCAAAATGGTTTCTTTCATAAAATGTATAACAATTATATTGTCTTAGTTTGCAGATTTCTTTAAAAGCTTTTTTTAATCTTGAAATATATAGTATAATAATTGAAATCTGACCAGACTTGTTAAGATTTTTTAACTTGATAGGTAATAGACCTATGTTTAATATGTATCTCTTATTTCTTTGTTGTTTTTTTATATATATTTTATTTTTGTGTAAAGAAGTGGGGCTAAATATGTTAATTTTATCTAGCAAAGACATAAGTTATATTTTTTACAGATTTTCTTATTGAAATTTAAATGTATTTAAAACTACTTTTTAATATTAAACTTGAACTTTGGATATTGGGTACATTTTAATGTAGTTAACCACATAAGGATTTTGATGTGATATATATAGCATTACTGAGATATATATATACCTCTGTTCTTCAAGTAAAAAAATAAAAACAGATGATTAGTTTTTTACCAAAAAAAGAGAGAGAGAGAGGCATCTGAAGACTTGAGACAAAAAGAAGAAAAAAATGCTGATTGAGTTGGTTTATTATTTCATTCTCCCTTTAATCAACATTCTATCTTTTCCCAAGTGTAGGTCATTAAGAAGGTAAAATTTAGAGGTTATTTTAAATATCACTTAATTTGGACAAATTGGGAAGGGTAGTTGATGTAAGGAAATGAGTATATGATGTAAAAGGTAACTTCTTCATTAACTCTGCTATATTGATTGAGATTTGGAACTTTTCTGTGCTATGTCGTAGGTAAATTATTCTCACAGTGTATATGATGCATGTGTATTGACAAGTGATCCCCATCTTCTCCATTTGGAAGTAATAGCAAGAAACCATAGTCATTCATAGCCATCATCAGTGCTATTGTAAAGTGAACAAATTTAGTTATTTACAGCTTGACCATTTACTTTCAAGGCAGTACAAGTTGAGGTATAGGTAATCATAATATATTCTAGTATTCCTGGTTGATGTACCATAACTAGAAATGATGCTAAAAAACAACATTTAGTGGAACTCTTGACATTAAATTACACAAAGTATTTATTTTTTCTTTGTGGATGCATACCCAAATATAAGATTACTAACTTTGTAAGCATCAACAGTATAACTTATTCAAGCTGTATGTAGATATGACATTGCCAAAGTAATTTACCTTTTGTTTTTTGATGTATAGAAGATTTAATTAAAAAGTTATATTAGTGTTGGGAATAAGCACTGATAGTTGATAATTGTGTTTAAAAGCTCTTGTAAACAAATTTAGATATATTTATCACTTGAATGGTTTATGCATATAGTGCAGCGATGGTTGTTTGATTAACAATTGAAAATGAGACTGTGTTTACATACTTATTGCAGTTTGTGTGAACTTTGTAAAAATCTGTGATAAGGAATGCATATAAAGAACACAGATCATATAGACATTGCATAGGTTGGTTATGTGTTGTAGTTTGGTTTCTAATTAAGTGTAAAAAAGTCTTGAAAGATATTCAGTTTTTTAACTGTGAATGAAAGTAACAAGAAAAGAAAACAACTGCAAAGAATAATTGTAAATTTAACATGAGCTGCTCTAAACAACAGATAAACTTATACTAGTTTTCACAATTTGCTTGAGTACAAAGATGGACCAATGGTTTTATTACTATAGTGTATTTTAATTGTATATTTTGTATCCCAGCAGTAAATGATAGGTATAAACATTATAATTTAGAAGACTGCAATACTTTTTGACATAAACTTGTAGTACTTTAAAATCTTTATGTAGTCTTGAGCATGTGCCATAGGTCACTAAGGTCAGTTAGGTACATTCACTTCTAGGAACTTCATCATTTCAAATCATGAGCAATGTTTATTGGTAAAGATGTTTTTACAGAAATATTAGTAGTTTTATTGTTTTTTATTGTTATATAGTAATTTGTTGTTCTAGGTCTATCTTTTAAAGAAATGTAGCTGCATGTAGAGCTTGATTTAGTTTATATGGTGGCCTTTGTTCATTTTGTAATAGTAAAATATTTTTACTAATATAGTTTGGTTAGTATGTGAAGTTTCATACAGCTGGTATACCTGTTAATTGAACTCTGGTTATGTAATTGCCACTGTAAAACCTGCATTCAACCTCGGTATACTCCAAGTTAGTTTCATTACTACATCTCCACATAATGCTTTTTTTAGATACATTTTTCAAATGACAACTCAATAGTACATGAAATAATAAGCTTTTCTTGTGAAATTGTGATTAAGGATGCACAGCATAATCTATTTAAAGTATGTGGTTTTTGTTGATTGGACACTATAACTTATTTGTATTGGCTTTAGTAAAAATGACATAAAATCTATCTATGTTTGCCAGTAACTTTTTTTTGTTGTAGATTTATAAAAAGGTTGAGTAAGAATTGATTGTTTAGGAGATTAATACATTGTTGATGTTTATCACCTTAAATGGAATTTTACTCATCAGGTTACAAATCAAACAAGGTTGCTCCAAAGACAGTGTTCCAAGTAATTTCGGTTGGTCTCTCTTTGCTGGAGTGTCTGATCATTACATGACTGATTTTTGTCTCCAAGGTGTGAAAGGCTCAATCCAAGATTTGGACATTAGAAAGGATCTAATAACTTGTACCCAGGTAATGATACAAGTTTTATTTTCTTCGTTGAAGTTAAAATGATTCAGAGTGTTTTAAACAGATTGAATTAATATTTTTGAAAATTTTCTAAATAGGAGAACTTACTGCTATTTGGTCTTAACCCTCTCACTACAGGGTTGGTCCCAGGGATTGACCACATAACTATTTTGTGCTTGTTATAGTTTTAATACAGTAAGCATATCTTCACAAAATTTTGCAGATTATTAGTAAACATTACAAATATCAAATTTTTTATTAAGTTTTACGATTTTTTAAGTAATGATTTCCACATGCATTTTTTTATTTCGAATGTTGACTATCCAACGTACAAAGTAATTTTGATTTTAAGATGAAAAATACTTTTATGCATTGGAAAATTGTCAAATTTCACATACAAAATCTTTATGACCTCCAGCTAATTATCAATATTTTTTTTTCAGGAAAAACTTTATATTTTATCTGTTATTTTCACTATTATATCTCTGTAAGGGTTTTGTCAAGTTGACCGACCTCGTAACCACCATAAAAAAAATTAGAAAATAGATATAAATTATATTATTTTCATTCTAGAATGACTACAAGTTATAACACAAACCACAATTTTTTAGTCTAAGTAGCTTAAATCTCATAACATTATACATTTATATATATATATATATATATATGTATTATTTTTATTTTATTGACCTTTCAGTCATGTATGATTAACCGTACAGAAGTTGGAATGATGCTGTGCACGTGCATTCATGTTACCATATCCAAGAATATAAAACTGGCCTTTACAAAGTGACCTGTCTTGGCTTTGTTCTAGTGGACCAATATTTTGTAAAATATAGTTACGTTTCGGTGACAATACATTACATATGTATATATATTATTACTATTTACAAATAAGCCTTAAATTTCAGTTATTAAAGAAGTAAATAAAGAAGTGTACAGAACAATGATCTCTTCTACTTACGAACTTTGCACTCATTTGCTGCTTGCCGTAATTTGCTAAGTCTTTTCAAATTTCCCACATGTTGAGGAATCCGTGATCTGATTCATTGTGAGATGGAGACATATATTTGGTCCAGGGGTATTTCTCTGGGGGGTTATGAGGCTGCTCTTGCTGATGATCAAGAGCATTGTTGAGATAATTTGGACTTGCTTTTTCCGGCACCTTCATTTATTAGGTCGCCATCTTGCGAGGCCATTTTGGATCAGCTACCTCCTGCTCCCTTTCTTCAGTTAATCAGTCAGGTTTGTGAGGTTTTGGGGCTTCCCCAGTTGCCTTTGAGTCTACTCCTTCTTTGATGGCAGAAAGGTCTAGGGTGACTGCTGAGTTTTTTCTCCTTCACCTGATATTGCTGTTTATGCTGGGGGTTTACCACTCATTTACATGACAGGATAGCTATGCCTTGTCCCCCATGTTTATTGGAACAGCATGATTTGGCTTACCACCACCAGGAGGATGTATATTTGCATTCTTCCTTATCATCATTGGCCTCTTGACTTTCTTTGGCTCCTACTGGAAGTCAAGGTGCAACTGCTCGTCATGTGTCCCGACCTCCGGCTTCAGCTCCTCCATCTGTTGGTACTTAGAATAAATTCTAATTTGTAAGAAACTACAGACTTTGGATTTGGACATCACAAAGATCTAATTTGAACCAAAGCTGCATTAAACATATGATGTGACACACAAAAATTGATATTTAGGTGTTTTTTTTAATATTTACTATTATTTTTATTTAATATTTAAATTAAGAAAATAACAAATGTATAATACTAAAATTTGAACTATAGTCTACAATTTGATACCAAACTTATTGGCATACATTCATTAAGTAGTAGTTCAATAAAATGTTGAATGTAAGTTTACAAATGTGATGACATGCCCTTGGATCCCTGACCATAGGAAGACTCATCGAGATAGGGTTAAGTACTTCATGTCTCAGTTTTCTTTCCCAGTTCTTATTACTTGTTCAGAACAAATTTAACTAGACTTTTTCAATTTTAGATAAGTGATGGTCCTAAATGGATTTCATATTCAGATATAACCACTTAATTCATCTGCAGTATCATTAATAAAATGTTATAATCTTTATGGAAGGTTTGTGAAAGTAATGTTGTTTCAAACCAAAAGAAGTTATAGATTTAATAGATTTTGAAAGTTTAAGAATCAAATTATATGTATGAGATACTGGAAAAAAAGTTGTTTTAAAATACAAATTTAATAAAAGAAGACACAACAACCATCCATAAAATACATTTTTTTTTTCTCTGCCATCAGGCTTCTGTACTTGGTGATCCAGTTGCTGAAACAGTCTGTATTTTAGCTGACACAGATCAGTGGTAAGTTTTAAAAAAAACAAAAAGACATTTAAGTCATTGTCATAAGTAGGTATTTAATAATTAGCATATAGGTTTACAAGTTGTTTTTATTAATGTAGAATTTTAGTTGGTTCAATAGCTTACAAATTCATTTTTTGGGCTATTCAAATAAAATGAATGGGATATCATGTAGTCCATTAAACTTGGTACAATTTTTCTATATTGGCTTGATATCATTGAAAATTTTATGAGAATTTAATATTGAATGTATCAGTGAGACTAAACTTTCTCACTCGGTTTGCTAAAATTCATTGGAGATTTTAAAATTACTTGCAATTTGATCGGTCAGCTACAATAATAAAATATCAATTTTTTTCTTCCTGTTGCATGTTTCATAAATCTAAACCAGTGTTATTGTTGTGTAATCAGAAAGTTTATCTGTTTTTTTTCTCATTTTTGGTAAATTTAGTTATGATTCTCATGAAATTATTTTCAGTTGATTTTTTCTGTATTTTACAGAATTCACCCACTGAACTAAGATGTGGAACTTGATGTGCTATTTATTTTAAAACATTCTTATTCTTGTGGTTGAAGATATTTAAGATCCTTTTATATAAATTTAGACAAACTACATGTGTTATATTTTATTTTGTTTGTTTGTTTATTTCATATAGAGAATTATTAGTTACTTAAGCCTTACAGTTCCACTTACATTATTCTGATTTGAGCAGTAATTTCTTTATTTTTAAACCACTATCAAGAACACTAAGGAGCATAGTGCATCTCTTGTAGAATATTATGCCCATTCAGTCTATTAGTTAATTCACACTTTTACTACTTTCTTTACTTGCAAAATTTTGGTTTGTTCACTGGAGTTTGAACTTGGATTCCTAAGTAATTAGTTAATTTGCATTACTCTGTGGTATAAAGTCATTAAGCAATGTGTGTGTGTATACGTATATATATATATATATTTATTTATTTATTTATATTTAAAAATTACTTCTACAAAAACAGAAATAATAATTTTTCTTTCTGTCTGGTATTGCTTTATAGCTCAGGTGAGACTACAATTATAAATAATGATAGAACTTCATAGCATAAACCAAAATAGAGTGCAATTTAACCATTTTATCCTTGCTGTTATCTTAGTGATTTCACAAAAATATGGCAAAATTCTATTAAAAATGATTATTTGTCATTGCTTTGCTGAAGAAAGTAAAGTTTAATATTTGTCTATTATGAGTGGGAGAGTAGTGTCTTTATTTTTATGTGTAGAAACAGTCTCTTTCTGTCCATTCACTTATAAGTTTCAAATCATGCTGATTTATTTAGTCTCCTTTAAAATACACCTTTACCAATAATTGATACATTGTGTGATTTATATATGATAGGAGTGTACGCTTAGTTTCAAGTAATCGACAGGAAGGAGACAAAACAGGATCTTGCAGTATACGTGTTGGCATGTCCCCAATTGTTTCAGGAATGTGTGAATCTCTGGTACATATGTGCAAGTTGAAGCTGTCGCCTGAGTTTGTAAGTATGGTTTTTATGCAGATTTTTGTATTTCTTATCAGACCACTAGTGGGTAGCTTGTAGTGCTGCAAACTGGAAGGCTCAGACCGTAATATGCTGCTGACTTGGTGTCTGTGATATGCCCTTTAAGCCCATTTAATACATAAGGCACCATTCAGTTGAAAATACCATTACTAGTTTATTCCTAACCAATCAGAGTATTTCATTTTTACTTACATATTGTACAGTTTGTTTATTTATGCTAAAACATAAAGGACTTCCACACAAGTAGAGCTCTATTGTCTATCTAATTCAGTTTGCAAACAGCAATATGTAAGAGATGCAGCTTTTTTTTATGAGTATTTTTAGCCTGTTTTGTATTAAGACTATGGGTGAGAACGACATCTGACGTTTTGGGTATCCAGGGGTGGGTCATGAGAGCTATATGAATTTGAAGCAAAAATGTACATAGTCTTTATATTCTGTTAGTTATCACTTCTGTATTCTTACCAATTGGTGAATGATCTAACTAAGCTCTCAGACTATTTTTACTATTACAGTATGCTTTTGTTTAACATTTAATGAAAGATTTATATATTGAAATATGGTGAAAATTATTTAGAGGCAGTGTGGATCAAAAGTGAGAGAACTTTATTTATAAGAACAGTTCCATGAAAAACAAATCAGATGGGATTGGTAGCAAAATTTATTTAGAAAGTAGATTTTCCACAAAAAGCTCTGCATGTGTTATGTAAAAGGGTTGTGCAGCTGTTGAAAACATTCAGCAACTAAAAAAAGTATATAAACTTTGTGAAGCTACAAAACAAAAAACATCTTGCATCAGGTGTATCCTAGTCTGAGCAATTTTGGCAAGTTTTAAAAATTCTATGATTATATCTGCCATAAGTGGACCTTAACAACAGTCAGCACCACATCAAAATATGCAATTTCATGTCTAGGTATTAAGTTTTATCATATCAACTTGTCAGCATTTGAAAGTGTTTCACTCTGATCCCCTTCCAGCTTAGCCCTAAACCTGGCGATTGCCCCCCCCCCCAGTCTTTTTCAAACTTCTGTTCTTTTTATTTCCATCTCTGAAGTTAACCTAAATATTTTACTATCAACTTTCCATGATGTTTAATTTTTTCATGTACACTGTTTTGTTTGTTTTTTTAAGTTGGAAAAAATAAGATTAGTGACTATAAATAGATGTTTGTGTTTACAGGATAGCAACTTCTCTTATCTGTCAACTCAAAGTAGTCTTATAGTACATCTTACTTCTAGTGTTCCAAATTTAATAAAGCCATTTTGCAATAATATTTTTGTGTATTATAATTGTTTAATAAACATTTTAATGATTTTTTTTTGTATGTCAGTTTAGTGAAAGTGATTCCATTTCAGTTTCTTTTCCAAGAATAATTTTGTCTGATCATTTTCTGGGAAAGTAGTAACTTTTGAACAAAGACTCTTTCAAACTGTTTATCCAAAGCTTATAAAAGAAACATTCTCTAACATAAATTACTTGGAGATTAATTATAACCCAGTAAAATTGTAAGTTCAGAGTTATGCTTGAAATGTAATTGTTGAATTGATACTTGATTGATAAATATACTCAGATATTATGCCAGCAGTATTATTCTACGGGGTGAAGAATGAGAAACTTTTTCATTGATAGCTAAATACTTTAAATAAAAGTAGGACATATTTTCAAAGAAGTAGTACATGGTCATAGTCTTGAGACTTAGCTAACAGAACTAGCTGGAGATTTTTTAATCACCTGTTTAATTTACTTAATTGAACTTAAAATGTTTGGAGAAATTCATGAAAGTCAAAATTATCTAATTAGAAAAAAGTGAAAAAAACATAGCAGTTCTTTACTTGTAATATAATAACTTTGTAATATGTATATCTTTGCTTAAACCTGCAAAGGGAAATGTAAAATCAGTTGTCAAAGAAACAAGAAGACACAATTTAACCAAGCTGTGTGTTTTCTACTGATTGTCAAATAGGATGTTCGATTATTTTTTATTTTAATTTTCAGTCATATTGAATTATTACTTTGTGCAAGTCTTCGCAGATAGCTTTATGATGAAAGTCTAGTGGGTATACATACCTGATTGAGTAATGTATTCAAAAATGTTTTGAGTACTATCTCTTGCATTTGACTTAATGGAGAACCAGAAATATGATTCCTTCAGTCTGCAGAGTCTAATTGCCCTTCTTTTTGTCCAAGATGTGGTGAAATTTGTTATGCATCTCACTCCAGAGGAAATGTGAACACTTCTGCCATTTTTGGTATTTTGTGGGTGACTTTTGGCATTATTGGGTTCATTTCTTTCTCTATTAAATGTTTGGGATAACAGTACACTTGTAAATTTCATTTTCAAAGTAAAATGTTTTTAAATATGTAATGAAATTATCACATTGTGTGTTATCATCTGTTTTTATATCATTCCTTTTGTTGGTAAATTCATATGATATTCCTGGGAGGTTTTCATGCCAAGGTAGCAAAAGGAATATGTAGTGGACTTGTGAAGTCCATGATTGGCTTTGGCTATTAATAATCGTTTTAAATGACATTTTCAACTGGATTAGTGAGCACCTTTTAGGTGTCAAGTGCACACTTGCATGCAAAAGGAATTTCAAAAGTTAGGTAAAAACAGTCATTCTAACTATTTTAACAATGTGTTTTACTCAAAAGTATTTTATTTTGTGATCTTGTTATATATATTAAATGGAACTTGCAAAGAAAAAAAAAACAATTCCAAACTTCCAGTTCTACCCTTTTTTTTAGGGTCTTTGCCTGTAAATAACACACATTGATTTTGTAGAATTTTCCTGCATCTACCAAAACATAGATACTATCATCCCTTGAGAAAATAATTTTAAAGATTGTGTATCTTACATGATTTTTCTTCTTTCATTCTTGTTCCCAACCTTTTATGAACAGTTATTAGGAAATTTCAGCTATGAAATTATATACAGGCAGAGTTTAAGCACCATTGGATAGAGCAGATTATAAACTATTTATATGTCAATAAAATGGTATGAGAACTAATTTATGATTTTGTGGGAAAGCAAGAAAACCTAGGTCTTGCAAAGAACAACAATAAAATATGGGAAGTGTTGAAGGCTTAAAAATAAACCAAATGTTTGTAGTTTCTTTAGATGTTTTCTTATATGACAAGACATCAAATAAGACTACTTAGGTTTAGAGAGAATTGTAGGTGGTGGTAAAATATGTTGATAACTCAGATCCTTATCTATTGAATACTGTTGTTACATTTATCATACTCAAACAATGCACATGAATGAAATAACTAAAAATGTATTGAAAAGAAAGCTTATTTAGTAGATCTAAATTAATTTTGATAAAGAATATTGTTAACAAAAAATATTTTACCTAGTCTGATCTAAAGCTATTTTGAAAGGTCAAGTTCTATGTCACCAATAAATATTTTTCCTGTGCTGTTTCCTTTTCTTATCACTTATAGCTGGAAGTGGTGAATGCTACAATAAGCAAAACAAAGTATCAAAAGAAATACATTAACAAAAATCAATCAAAATGAGACTGACTGTTTATATAATATAAAAGAAACTTCTGACCAACAACAACAAAAAAAGTCAGTTTTTTTTGGGGTTTTTTCTAAACAATGTCTCACAATGAAACTGGAGATTTCACAAAATAAATAATGATAGAAAAACTAAATTAAATCATATGAATGTTTTTAAAGCTGAATATTATTTAGAAAGTTTGTTCTATGTTTCATGCAAATTTTTTAAGTATTTCCACTGTGACAAGGAAAAAATCAAGGGATATCAGCAACACTCCCTCAATCCAGAAAGAGTTAATATACAAATTCTCTGTAAGGCAGCATCAAAACTATCTGTACCTGCTAATTAAATATAACACTATTTGATGCAAGAGATGGTTATTAGCTTATAAATAGATTTTGAAAATGTTATTTTTATTCTTCTTTTAGTGCTTGATGCATCTGGAAGATAAGCTTCAAGAACTCTATATACGGAGTAAGTCATTAGGTTCATATCTTGCAGACAATAGATCTCCTGATAATCTGGATGATGCTGTAGCAGTTCTTGGGTTTGACCGTAACGATTTACCCCTTCTCATGTCTGTGGCCTTAACTCATGCTCCACAGTGTGATAAACCTACATGTTGATATTGATAAATCAGCATTTTTGAAGAAACAAAGAAGTGGTTTATACTGGTTTACAGAAGATTCGGGATGTTTGCCTATTTCATGTACTAAACCAAGAGGAGAAGAAGTAGGCCTTGTTTAGTTTATTGCAGTTGAGATAATTATGCTATACAGAGCTGTCCAAATGAATTAAACAAAATTATGAAATAGTTACAAGAGGTTATTTTATATTCAGAAGATATTTGTTAAAGTCTACTCCTGTCTTGTGTGCCATGTTTTTTTTTTTTGTGTGTGTTTACTTTTTATCTTTAGCACTTAAAGGAAGATGATTTACTGAGTGTTTCATGAGTTAATAACATCTGTACTTTTCAACTAACCTGTTACTATATGCTTCTGGAAAATCAGACTGTCATCATACTAAATATATTCAGATGTTGGTTCAATAATTTAATAACTATAGGTTAACAGTGCAGTTTCGTGAGTTAAAAATTAACTAATCATAGATAGGGTGTTTTTAAATCTAATTGAGAATAGAGACTTGGTTGTTTGACATTTTAAGTGATGCAGTAAAATCACACTAAAATCTACTTTGGCATATTTAGTATGCCTGTAACTCAGTTTTATTTTCTTCATTTCAGTGGATTTGAGACTAAGGGTAGTTGAATTTATATATATATATTAAGGACTAGTTTTTTCTAATAATTACTTGTAGTTTTTATGTATTTTGTATCTTTAAAGTTTTTACTTAAACAGCTTTTTAGCATTTACTTCTGAATTTGCAAAATTTGATGTTAATTTTGAGAATATAAAGTGTTTGTGTCAGTGTTGAAACCAGAAGAAAACAGTGTATCAATTCCACAGTTCACTTAAATGTGTTGGCGATGAGTAAGTCGGAGATGATAAAATCAGGAGTGGAGATAGAGATAATTTTCTTCACCTATGTTGAAAATGAGGAAACAACTGTAAATTTATTGATCATTTGAAACACAGGAGACAAAAATCCAGACCAATGATGAATATTATTTTAAAACAAGAGAGAAACTTTACTACAAATCTATTGATAATTTGAAACACAGGAGACTAGTATCCAGAAAATGAAGAAAAAGTTACCTTCATCCTTGTTAACAGTAAGGAATACTGCATATTTTAAAATAAGAGCATTTACAACAAAAGGGTAGAGGAAATCCTAAATGTAAGATATAGTTAACTGTAAAATGTTATGTTGTGAAATACAGAAGAAAAAAGGATTGAAGTTACAAGTAAACTACAGATGCACTGATAGTGAAAAATAGAGGAAAAGAAAGGTGTGAAAGACATATTTAATTGCAATTTGTTAGACAAAATCCTTTATTTATATTCATATGACAACCTCAAGAAGTCTTACTTTTTTACTCTTTGGATTATTTGAACTCGTGATAAGGTAGATTGCTGCTTCACAATTGTAGTATATTTTCTGTTATTATTATACTTTTAGTCCAACCCAATGCTTGCCATCTCACAAGTTCTAGCTTGAAAGTGTCTTTTTTTATAAAATAATTTTGCTTAGAGACCCTAAATTATGCAAAAATGTATCTAAATTTCTTTTACAAATCATTATTGAGTTATGAATATTTAAAGAAGTTATGATAAGTGAGATAGTTTGAGTATTATTTTCTGTTCTGTATTATGATAAGTTTTCATATTAAATCTTTAAATGCACTATTTAGTATCATTACTTACATATTTATTTCTCTTTTAACATAAGTAGTTCAGATCATGTTTTTTTCCCTTGAATATGATTAGCAAAGTAATAATATCAAAGTTTGTTATTACACTTTGAAGTTTGTGAAAATCTTTTCATGAGATATGGCCTGTGCTTGTAAGTTTCATATGAAACACTGGATAAAAATTTCTCATTCAATATAACATATTGAAAAACTTAATGTTTGATAGATATTATGTTAAGAAAAATACCAATTAGTTTTTTGATTGTTATATCTCCTTTATCCTTAATGTTTATTAAAACCTTGGTCCACTCTCTCACCAAAATATAAATCGAAGTCTTTTTTACGGAGATGGTGATTTTCACTGTCCCATCTGTGCACGTGTAACCCTGGTTGTGAATTAATTTAACTATTTATGTACTTGAAACTCTGATTAGTTAATTTTCTAAACTTGCTTTACTGCCGTTGTTAACATTGGGTGTTGTATTAGACTTGTGCTTGCAAAAAAAACCTTTGTTGGCTAACAATGTTTTTCTTCGTGAACTTAAGTAACTTATTATTTATTTTTCTTAATTAATGACTTTGCTAATTTTGGTGACAATTTCTGTTTTTGGATATGTTTTGACCACAAGTTGTGATGCTACAGTATTTTTTCCTTCTTTATAAATAACTTGGACTATATTTACTCAAACAAAAGTTAAATACAGAAAAATATTTAATTATGGTAATGACTCCAATATGATATTTTTAGTTTATTTGATTTTGTAACTCCAACTTGTTCCCATTGTCTACATTGTGATACTTCTGCTTTGAATTCATATACATGCTAAACATGTTTGTTTTATTTGCAAAAAAAGAAAAAAAATTAATTGATATGTATGAAACAAGGTTGTCAAAGTAGGACCCTATTACAAATCTATTTTAGCAAATTTAAGTAAAAATTAATAAGCATGTATTCTATATACTTCAAAAATTATTTTGGTTAAAATGATGTAGTTACTAGCCTGTACAGTGCAAAATCAAACAATAATCTTTTCATATTTCTGTATAAAACAAGAAATAAGAGAAAAACTGTGATCAGATATCAAGGTGTTGGTTTTATTTCCATACAATCTTTGATAGTTGTTTTGGTTTAATTCTCTCAGGCCCCAAGGGACCTTACAGATAACAGGGGTTGTTAGTAACTTTTGTGTCTCTTCACCTCACTTTGATGGTGTGTATGTGTGTTACTTATCTGTTTATAAAGCATGATTTCAGATATACATTAATATATAAAATATTTCAGTATATATCATATCTAAAAAATTGTCTACATATCTTACAAGCTAGTAACTATTTTTTATTGCAGTTTATATATAACGATCTAATTGTGATAATGATAAGTAAGTATAAGTAAAAATAATTGTATTTTTTAGGAATTGCTAAGATATTTACTATGTAAAATATTTGAGTCATTTATTTTCGTTTAGTTAAAAATATACTTTTTTTTTCTGAGTTAGGTTCTTTGGCATTATTTTGATATAATTCTTATTGAATGGAGAGTGTTAGAGCATCTTTTAGTATTAACCATACACAAATTTACTTTTAAGCCGAGATAAGTGTATTGTTTTATAAGCTACAGTTGCCTAATAAAATGTGATATGATACACATGTTAATTGTTGATCAATAAAAAACTCAAACAGCAAGTTTAATTGTTAATAATGTTACTAAACAGGGCAAGTTTATTAGATACAACCTTTTTTTTTTTCCATGTGTGTTCCTAATTAAGTAACATAGGGATCATATACCAATACTGCCATCAATTTGAGTTTTCATTCACCAGTAATTAACATTTGTATAGTTTGAATTTTTTTTTCTGGCTTTGCACTAGAATCTGTTACCAGCCTTAATATCTTGTATGCAAATGTTTTACATAATTATATGTACCTCTAATTGTGTGACGAAATGTTTAGCAACTTAATTCCTGCCATAGTTACATCTACTAAAATATATATTATTTAGTGACTTTTGTACATGAAGAAAATATGAACTCTTAGAAAGTTAAAAACACTGCTTTCAATTATTTTAACCCAAAAGTATGTGACTGTGATATAATTACTTTAAAGAAATATAAGCAAAACATTTGTTTTAACCTATTTTTTTATTAGGGAGTTAACATAAAAAAAGTACTATTTTTTATCTTTTGAAAACTTTTTCTTTAATTCAGGTTTTTGTAAAGTTAGTGTTCTTTTCTTTATCGTCATTTTCTTGGCCACATCCATCATTTTACATATACTGAGTCTTGGATTACCCTATCAAATGTTCTGTTTCAACCATTCCAGTAACAATGTATCAAAAAGATATTCCAGATATTACTCAAATATTTAATGTATGTTTGCTATTTAAGTTTCCTCGAACTGTGCAACATGTAGAAATATAGCTCTGGCAATTTATTTAATTATTTTTTTAAATTGTTATTGGTGTTTTCTAGTATATAACCTACATTCCTTTAAAATACATGAAATAAATATATTTTAACATGATATACAGTTATTATACTTTTTTTTTGAATAATGATAAAACTACGAATATGTAATTGCATAGTTTACATGATGTAGATTGAAGACAGTGGGAATTCTTTTTTTTTTTTTTTTGTTAATGGATGTTTAAAAGCTTCTTGGACTGCAAATTGAAAGTTTAAAGCTTAAATTTTCAAAGCAAATTTAAAGAGTTGTGCTTCTTACAAACATAGCATTGCTTTTAGACCTTGGCTGATTCTGGCACAGTACAACTGAAATCTGCCGAGGAGTTCGGAGTGCATAACATTTGTGTATTACTTATTGGTTACTGAAGGATATTTTCCAAAATGTGATGTAATGAGAATATTAGGTGACTTAAAATCTAATACTTTGATGTCATTGTCTTCCTCAGGGTGTTAAAATCAGTATGTTACTGTCAGATTAATACGTACAGCTTACTTTTTTAGATGTTATCAAATGTTGATGGCATATTTTGTGAATATTGCACTTCCTACTTTGTACAGTTTTTAAATACACATATCAACATATCATTATATGTATTTAAAAGTATGTATAGTCCTATTTTCATAGTTTAATGTATCAAGTGCAATAAAATATATTTTTTGGCATCAGTAAAATATTTTTCAGTGTTTAATATTATGCAGACGTGTGTATATATATATATATATATATCATGAAACAAGAAGTATTGATCAAACAGAAAAAAAACTACACAAAAAAAACGTGTATTCTTCACGTAGTATCATGTAACCCAATCAATTGACTCGTATACAATGTATACAGTAGTTACTTGGGACAAACAGGTACAAAATTACACAGAGAACACCATATGGTAGTTATGTTGTTCTTTAACTGATGATGAAACGATATAGAGAGTTTGCTGTGTTGTGATTAACAAAGTCTTTATTAACACTTGTAGAGAATTTACGCATATTCAATAATATTAACATTACACAGAAAATTTCACTTGAATTTCCAGTGACAATAACACTAGGTATAAAGTTGATTCGTTGGTTTACAGTGACATCAGCAAATTTGGAATGTTGAGTGTTCTAGTTTCAAAACACACTTCAAAAAATGACTTGGTTTTCAGAAAATATTGCTTATAGAAATTATATTTTACGTTGAGTTTTGGAAGTTTGAGTCTCAAGTTTCAGAAAAATTATAACGGAGCTACCGGGAATTCAGAATGCAACTTACCAGTAACTTTTTATCCTATTACTTATCGCGGCTTGATAAGAAACAAACTTGGATGCAGTTTTAATAAAGTAGTGTAGCAAAACATTAAACCCTAAAAAACATGTCTTTTATTAGCGATGATGAAATAATTAGTATTGAAAAAGCCCTAAAATACCTGCCTTTTAGATGAGGAAATAATGAATGACGAAAAAATCTGAAAATGTTGTATTTTATTATTATATGCAAAGTCGAGTGAATGTTCTATTTATGAATTGAAAACAAACTTTAATAAATGAGCAATTACAACTGTACCAGTAATTATACTTATAAGAACAGCATAAAAATAAATCATAATTTCGTATTTGAAATCAAAATCGAGGATACTGCAACACAGCAAGCATATGATATCACTGCATCGGTGACCAGTAAAGGACAGTGCGTGCTTAAGCCTACAAGCTTTGGTTGGGGTCGACCCTCATAGCAAAGCATGTTATCAGCAATCCTATTCTATAACTGAAGTTGCACTGATTATACATAGTCATCTGACAGTTATGATCATTTCAGACTCAACGCTTATAGCATAGCTTGTTATAAGTAATTCTATCCTATAACTGAAGTTGCAATTATTATACCTAATGATCTTCCATATGTGTTAGGAAAAAATGCAGTTTCTAAGCTCCTAAAAATATCTAAGGGAAATTTATTGATAACATAGAGCTTGACACTTTTATTTGATACGTTAGAAACCATGAATTCGATAATAACTGTCTGTGTCACATAATTTCAACATAGCTACTTACCACTGGTCCAGATCAGTCTGGATCGAACTGGGTCTGACTATTTCAAACCAATCGGATCCAGTATGACCCCAAACAGTTTCATTATCTGGTCTGATGTGGACTGGTCGAAACGGGTCTCTAACGTGGATGTATGCATCAATTATAACCTAGTTTCAGGTTTATGCATACAGTTATTCACTTGCATAAAGATATTTGTTTTAAAGAATGCCCTGATACACGCAGAGAAAAGGATGGGCGTAATATATTGGTGTAATTATTATTAGTGTTTATGCATGTGTGGATATGGTTCTGATCTCCTAAACTAATATGTATTATTATTGGGAAAATAGCGAGAATGCCCAAATGGTGATTCAAGGCAATTTAACCCTAAAAATTACCGACTTATTTTATCCTTGTTTAATACCAGTGTGGTTCAACCACATATTGCATAATGGTAGGTAATTTTATTCTTTTGCTTGTTATAACACTTAGTGCAAGACATGACCAAAACAATCGGGTTAAGCGAAGTCACATATTTTATGAATGAAATACGCAGAGAATCCCAATGGCATTGTAGTATTAGTCAAGGTATTTTCTTAAAACAGTTTTTTGTATGAATCCTATGTTAAGTATTCTATAGCCAACAAAACCATGGACCCACAGCAATTTCGTGCATAAGCAGTTCAGAAAAATGTGTTTACAACACTGAATTTACAGTAAATGTATCGTATCTGTTTAATTAACATGACTGCACTGTCTTCAGTGGCGTATGCTAGAGAGATTAATTACAGTATTAGCTTATTTATCTTCACAATTCATTTACAATAATAAGCAAACGAGAATCAGACGACTCGTTTTTATGCCCTTATATTCGTTTTACGATAAGCATAGCTGTTACGAACGTGTATGTAAAGTCGTGTAGACCAGTGATTCTCAATGTGGGCCATATGGCCCCCCAGGAAGCCACGCCATTTTTCTAAGGGGCCACAGTAAATTCTGAGTGGGCCACCGAAACTTCACTGCCAGAATAAAATATTTCAACAACCCAAGCTCGATTCAAACGTGACAAATATTATATCTGGATTAGTAGTGAAATAGCTAATAAGTTTCCTCAGCTCTGGGAGAAGGCAAAGTTGTATTTTATCGCTTTTCCCATATTTTATTTGGTTTTAGTCGGGTGAATTATTTGCTATATAAAATACGTAACCTCCTTGATGTTGTGAAGAGAGATGAACTTCGCTTATCACTGACCACACTACAACCGGACATTCAAAAACTTTCAAGTGTTCATGAGGCCCAAGGATCACACTGAATGAAATGTTAATGATTAACAGAATATTTTTACTTGTATAAGTAAACATTATGTTATAAACAAAATATTTAAAAACAATACAATATTGTAAAAATAATATTATAAATCAACAATGTGGAAATAAAGTAACTTTTTTCCTAAGTAACGGCGTCTACGAGGGGGTGGGGGCACAGAGATAAATCAAATTCAAAAGGGAGCCACGAGCAAAAATAGGTTGAGAAACACTGGTCTAAACAATTATCAAATTGTGTTGCCTTAAGCCCCACAGTTTATTTTAGGTTGCTTAGATCAGAATGCTCGTACAAACAGGGTATCATAACTTGTTGGATAGTTTGTTTGTTTGTTTTTTAATTATGCACAAAGCTACACAAGGGCTATCTGTGCTCTGCCCACCACGGGTATCGAAACCCGGTTTCTAGCGTTGTAAGTCTGCAGACATGCCGCTGTGCCACTGGGGGGGGGAGGGTTGTTGGATAGAAGTATCTCTTTTTAGATGCGACTAACCATTTATTAGATAATACGTGAAAAAGTGAAATATATTGTATAAATATGAAGCTAGCTTATCAAAATTGATTTTGAATAATTTGCTCAAACAACTTTTTACTAAGCAATTTATAAAACACTAATATAAAAACGATCTAAAGGTATTAA